ATATATATATATATATATATATATATATGTGATATATTTATATATCACTGCATATCATATTACTCTAGATTTACAGTGGGTGGTGAAATTAAGTGACAAAATTGACATTACAGTAATATAATCTGAAGGCAATAAACCACAAGTATGTTATTAATGTACTGTTTTCCACTCAGGTAGAATATTATATCATAATTTCAGCTCTGTGTTTTCTCCTAAATCAGTTTTATTTATTCCTTTATAGTGTGGGATTTTTATTGTTTAGCACTTTGGCTGCCTGGTCGGCAGCAAATTCAATAAATTAAATGCATATTCTCAGTCCTCATAGCTCCATGGTGTTTAACATAGGGGTAGCTGGGGGTATTTCTGTATAAATCATAATCAAAGCAGGGCTAATGTTATCACATTATGAAATGGGGATTAAATATTATTGTAGACTAAAAATATTTAATCTCCTTGTTAAGAATCATACATTTTATGCTCATCTACTAACAGATTACATATGTTTCTGCTTTCCTTAATGGATTTCTTTTTTCTTTTTTTTTTTTTTGTAACGATCAGAACTTCCAACTCCATAAATCTGTGGAAGCATGAAGTTGACTTGGTGTGACAGAGAAGGATTGGTCCTTGCTTGGATTTTCTCCACACAGGTTTACGTGAAAAAAAATAAAGACATTATAATAAACAGATATAAATAATGCATTTACCTTTCAATCAATCCAAAAAACAGCAAAAAATAGTAAAACATAGATATTCACTTTTACCTTCACATGGTATTGGTAGATGTGGACTGAACGTCACTGTAAACGTGAATCTTGACTTACCTGCTCTTCATTGTGAAAGTTTTGAATTCATTTCTAAACTCTGCTGCAAGATAAATCAGGTTAGTGTGGTGTTATGTTTTACAAAAAAATCAATAAAATATATCTCAGTGTACTTTAAAAATGTACCCCTTCAAAAGAGATTTTATCACATGATCCTTTATTCTCCCCAGAAATAACATGACAAGTATGTAATAAAACAAGGGAAAACATTTGTTGTCTTTACTTTGAATGAAAAAAATCAGAATTTTCTTTTTTATTTTATTTTATATTGTATTCTTTGTCTTTCAGGGGGAATAACACTGCAGCTCACAACAAAGTAAAACACACAACTCAGCTTGCAAATGCACACACTGACCATAGTCCAAATGTCTCCCAATCAAAGGTAACAGTTCCTGAAAGAACACACTCAGAGAAATGTAGCATGTCATTGAGGTGATGCGAAAGCCACCAGGAGGAGAAATGTCTCTGTAAAATATTCAACATGAGATCAATCAAGTTTTTCGATCACAGCACAGAAATTATAAACAGATTATTTCACCCTATATATCATAAGAGTTGAGTCATGCTGCAACCTTTTAATTTGAGACAAAAAAATGTACGATACATTTATAGTATAAGATTTATATCAGGCATAAAGATAAACTCTTCTTTTCACTAAATTTACAAGTAATAGACACAACTTATTTAATCACAGATTTGTAGGAGTTAAATCCACTTTTTTGGGGGATGCAGAAATATATGAATCAATATACTATGTGTTTTTTTTCACCTAAATCATTACCATCATTTTCTCAGCTTACAAGGTTTTTTTTTTTCCCATCTAGTTGAATATAGAATTTCACAGTAAATTTTTTTGCTAAATTTTCACACGTACGGCTTCTGCTTAAAATATGAACTTCCGCTCTGTTCTGGGTTGATTTCTATGGATCAGCTTCAGCATATTTTTTTTGTTTTAAGAGAGGAAAAAAAAAACATGTATAAAAGGAAATATATATGTAAGGCACAGAGAACATACATGTATGGTTAATGGTGGTAACAGTCGACAACAGTCACCTGCATTTTTGGAAAGAAAGTCTTTTCAAAATGTGACTATTTACAACGGAATAATGAAGAAATACATTTTAAAGAAAAGGCTCATCCCCGTCTCACTCTAACCATCTTGTTGTGCAGAGCTGAAGAAGAGAGGTTTCAGTCTTTTCAGCTCTTATCTCTTGCTTCGAGTAACCACCACTCTTTGAAGAACCTCCAAGAAAAGTGTTTTCAAGAAGATTATGTTTCTTTTCAGCTTTGTGTGTATCTGTGTTGTTTTGCACGATTTATGGCTGAAAAAAAAAACATGCAGCATGCAGTCCGTTTTCTTGTTTATGGCCTTGGTAGTGGTGAATAAAGGCCAAAAGACCCCATTCACACTATATGTTTAGGTCTTGTAGAAGGATAGCCTTTAGTAATCTCCAGAAGCTTGTTTAATTTGGTTGATGTCCTCCCACAGAGTTTGCTTTTCATGAATTCCCTGTATCTATCTATCTTTACCAATAAACCAGTTGTTATGCAAAGAGAAACATTACAATCTAATTGGAACACTCGTTTTTGTGGAATTAGATGGAAGGTAATCTGTTTAAATATTTACGAAAAGTTTGTCAGGAAAAGCATCTGGAGTTAAAATTTTTGCCTAATCTGGAAGCAAGTTGAAATGACTTGCTATTGGTTACCTCTGAATATGGGACCAGATGAAAAGACAAACAAATTTCAATTGCAGGCAAAATAACCTTAAAAAAAAAAAAGCAAGCTTTAAATACACCTTTATTTTTGAAGAAAAAAAGCTACCTAAACTGATCTAGTGCTGTTTGAAACGGTAACCCCCCATTCTTGATGACTGGGCTATACAGGAGGTAAGACAGGTATCGAACAAGCCTACATTCTTCTCAGTTAATATGTTTCTACAGGTGCAATTGACATAACATTTTGACCAGATAACAATTCATGCAATCCATCCATACAAAGAAATCAAACCATAAATGTGAAGAAATTAAGTTATGTGTAATGAAGTGAAATGGCACAGGGAAATGAGAATCGAACACACTTACGGAAATCTATTTAATACAAAAGCCTTTGTTGGCAATGACAGCTTCAAGATGCCTCCTGTATGAATGTATGAAATGAGTTGCACGCATTGTCAGGTGTGATTTTGGCACATTCTTCTTCATAAATAGTCTTCAAATCTTGAAGATTTTATGGGCATCTTCAATGAACTTCAATGATCTTTAGTTCTTTCCATAGGCTTTCTATTTTCTATTGGATTCAAGTCAGGTGATTGGCTGGGCCGTTCTAGCAGCTTTACTTTCCTTCTCTGAAACCATTTGAAAGTTTCCTTGGTTGTGTGTTTAGGGTCATTGTATTGCTGAAATCTTCACTCATGTTTCATCTTCATTATCCTGGTAGATGGCAGCAGATTTTTATCAACAATGTCTCTGCACATTTTTCCATTCATCCTTCCTTCAATTATTTGAAGTTTTTTAAGTACCATATGCTGAAAAACAGCCCCAGATCATGACGTTCCCACCTCCAAACATCACTGTTAATATGGTGTTTTTGGGGTGATGTGCAGTGCCATTTGACCTCCAAACAAGATGTGTATTATGGCATCCAAAGAGTTACATTTTGGTCTCATTTGGCCAGACTATAAACTCCTAGTACAGGTTTGTCTAAATGTTGTGCAGCAAACTTTAAAAAAGCTTCAACATGCTCTTTCTTTAGCAATGGAGTCTTGAGCGGTGAGCGTGTATACAGGCCATGGCGGTTGAGTGCATTACTTAAAGTTTTCTTTGAAACATTTGTATCTGCTAATTCCAGGTCTTTCTGAAACTCTCCACAAGTAGTCTTTGGCTCTTAGACAACTCTTGTGAGAGTTATTTTCCCTCCTCCCTCAGAAATGTTGTGAGCAGCACCAGATCGTAGTTGCTTTATGGTGAAATTATGTTTTTTCCACTTCCGGATTATGGCCCCAACAATGCTCACTGGAATTTTCAGAAGTTTAGAAATCCTTCTGTAACCAAGGCCATCATTAAGGTTGTGAAGGTCTTGAGAAAGCTCTTTACTTTTACCCATAATGAGATGGTTCTTGTGTTATACCAGCGACACCTTTTTATAGGCCATCATGTGCGCTGAACCAGCTGATATTAATTTGCACTGACAAGGGGCAGGATTTCTTTCTAATTAATGAAAGATTTCGGCTGGTGTCTTGGATTTCCATGCCGTTTTGCACCTCTCTTTCTTCAGGTGTTCAATACGTTTTCCCTGTGCCTTTTGACATTATTACACATAACTTAATTTCTGGACATCTATGATTTGATTTCTTTTTATGTGTGGACTGCATGGATTGTTAATGGCATCTGGTGAAAATGTTGCATCAATAGCACCTCTAAAAACATATTTGCTGAGAAAAATGGTGGCATGTTCACTACTTATTTTACCCACTGTATGCCCACTACTTCCTGAACTTCAGCAAGCTCCTTTGTTTCCCGTTTTTCATTATTGGACAAAGATAAATTAGAGAACATTGAACATTGGTAAACCAACCACCAAAGTTGCTCCTGGAGAAAATCGGTTGTTTATCAAGGATGTAGAAAGAATCCATGTCATCTAAAGCGCAACAGGCCTGATTCAGTAACAAGAAAGAAGCTGTTCATAAATAGCTTCCACATGAGAGTTAAAAAAGAAAAAATCTTATTGGTGAGCAAAACTGAGGAAAAGGTCTCTTTCACATTTTCCAAACAGATCTTAATGATCCCCAAGACTTGTGGATAAATACGTTGGGAAAAGACTAGACAGCAGTGGAATGTTGCTGTGTGTCCAGTTATATAAGGAATAAAACTCACATGATATTTCAGCAAAACAACATCCACCAAAAGCCAAGCATGATAGCAGTAATGTGATGCACTGAAATATCTTAGCTACAGACAACTTTCAGTGATCAATATAACCATGTTTTTTTCTCTTTCTCTCTACCAAATAGTCCAAGGTTATAATATCTGTTTATCTAGTGTTCTTAAGCACACTTCGGTTATATTCCATTTCAAAGATCCGAAGCAAACGTGCAGTTCCTGCAGTGAAAGACTTGAATTGGCCTGGAACTAAACTTGGTTGAAAATACCTAAGAAAGGTTGCTCAGGCTTAAAAACCAAGTTAAAAGAATACAGCACAGATAACAGCCATCAAATTCTTCCACAGTGATGTTTAATACCAATGCTTATTTGCAGTATTGGCAACAGATTGTTTACTGTAAAATGTGCAGAGTTTCTTGGTTTGGAACCTTTTAGCAGTTGCTGCCTTCAAGGATAGCACAACCACCTATTACAGTACATTAATACAAGAGGAAAGTACTTCTCATTGTCAAGCTATGGGTTTTGAAAGTGTTTTTTCTCATAAAATTAAAAGTTTTTTTTAAACAAAACAAAAATTATATTTAATCAGGTAAGCTTTGATATCCATATTTCTAAACTAAACAAATGCTTCAAATCATTTGAGACATTCCTTTAGTTTTAAACCCCAGTGTCTACTGTTGAATTAAATCTAATATATATTTAAGTTTAGAGGAAGTTCAATGTGTTTCAGAAATAGCATATTTTCTATTAAAACCACTACAATTATCAACCTTTTTTATCTTATTGAGAAAAAAATAAACACGCACATTTCCTAAGCCTCTGTACTTTGATCAATACAGCAAACTCTTGATGTAAAGGTAATGTGTAACTGAGCATGGACTCCTGATGAAATCTCACCTTGTTACCACAACATGATGATGCTCCAAAGCTCAGAAATCAATCTGGAAGCTAAACCATCAGTATTGATAAACTGTGTGTGCTAAGGGACTGTTACCAATAGCTTTACTCCATCCCTTTTCTTTGCAAATAACAACAACGAGATGCTTTTATACTTCCACAAAACTAAAGGGCAGAACACACTCATATGCTTCCACACAGGTATTAACACAGACATACAACACAGCGTTATAATCTTGAGGTGTGCTGAGTTATCATCTGCAATCAATATATTCATGCCTTTTTCTTGTTTGATGTCCAGAGCAGTAATGGAAATCTATCTCACAGTGAGGGCAAGAGGATGCAGCGAATAACCTCCGCCCAGATTGACAGTCTACATTCAGATATAGTTTCGGTCATTTTTTCTTTGAGCAAAATCTGAAGTTTAATAAGGTGTAAATAGCAAAATGAGTGAAAGAAGGTATGAGTTATGTATTTTAGCAATGACTTTGCACATGGCATTGATTAAAGATCGCAAAAGTGTTTTGATCATGAGTTAATCTTAACTGGTAATATGTACATTATATACTTTTAATGCAGACTTTTACTCTGTTAGGTCACTACATGTATTATACGAAGAGATGAAAAATGGACATCAGGACATGTTAGATGAGGCAGGAGGAAATATTTTGCTCGATCATAGAGAAAGGGGAGATGAGTTTGGGGGGGGGATTACAAGGTCAATCAGGATAGATTAGGAAGCCAGAGAAGGTGCTGTATTTGTTGGTGTTTCCTCCATGAACTTTGCCACCGTCCAGCTGAACACACACTTCGTCACCGACGTCCAGGTGCAGGATGACGCTGTTGGAGGCGTAGTCATAGTTCTGATCTGCATCTTGAGCGATTGCACTTGCTCTTACCTGGTATAGAGACAACAATAAAATAGATTAATGCACAAAGTAAAAAAAAAAAGGAGAACCGCTTGGATACTTTTTGTACAATTCATGAGGTTGCACTTATATTTGCTGTTGCTGTTTTTTCAGAATTATAGGGGCATTTTGCGCAAGAATCTTGAGATGAAACTGCAGAGCTACTGTTAAAATAACTTTGTGAGTTAGATAACATTATGAAATATTAAACTGAACTGACTAAAATAAATCCACACATTCATCAGTCAATCAACACCACTGAATGAATTTTAGTTACTCCTTAACCTGCATTTTTCCATGTTGAACACATACATCTTTATTGTTCAATTCAATCAAGAAATCAATAATCATTCAAGAGTCTTTATTGCTGTTATGTAACCATGCCATTGATTAGCACAGACTCAGACTACTGTACAACTATCATGCCAATATGCAAATTAAAGCCTGTATGGTGTATTCCCACCAGAAAAGTCCTTCAGTCTGCTTGTTTGGTTCAAACCAACTGTTTCGTTTTCTCTGGTTTTAAAATTGTAATTTTTGCAAAAATTGACTTGGCTCACAGCACAGTGGTTGCTCCCTTTGGGAGAAGTGACCACAGCAGGACAGAGCAGAGAACCAGAAAAAGGGGAAACCTACTACAGTAGTTGTGCATGCAGCACCTCCTTTTATCCTATTATTACAGATGCAACATCAGTAAGATTGTCTATAGCAGCTCTTTTAATATAGGTTTTGAGACTTTTTTAATTGGTGATGTCACTAAGAATGTGTCCTTTAAACAGAGGATGATTCTTCTTTTGCTATGCAATAGACAGCATAACACAGGAGTTTTATACTATGTTTACTAATATGGTGGCTTGCTGCAAAGAGACATATGTATTCTGCATTTGAGGTAGACTGAGGTGGACTAAGCTTTGTGTTCATACCTGAATAACACTGTACCAGAGTCCCTTTGGGCTCAGAAATTGGTACATGGTCTGGTTGTAAGAACCAGTCTTATTAGAAACAAACACTGGTCCATTTAAAGTGGACCAAGTGTGGTAGACATGGATACACCCTTAAAGAAAAACAACAAATAAGCATCCTAAGAGGAGAACTTAAAAAATATAAATACCTGTCAGTAGTAAAACACAGAGTATTGAATATGAAACACCCTGAATGTAATTTTGTTTTGTGTGCCTGTGGTGTGTGTCTTTTTTTATGTTTTATAATTTACCATATTGGGACAAGTCGAATGTCTCCATGTGGTTAGTGTTCTATTCTTTCAGTTGGAGGACTAATGTGTGAATAGGTATTTGTTTTTAATGGATAGGATTAAGCCATATAAAAGAAGTGCAAGTCAAAGAAATGTCCCCATAAAGCATGAAAACAAAGCCTTGTATGTGTGCATGTGTGAAGGTGATATGAGATGTGAGTTTCTGACTGCAGGGAGATGATTGCCTTTACATCAGTGTAAAATAAAATGTTTCTAAATGTAATAGTTCTGAATTTTTTGTTGCTGTTTTGTTTTCCTGATGGGCAAATTGTGGGTAAAATCTGTGACAATCCATCTAGTTCTTTTCTGAAATCTTGCCTAAACCGAGTCCAGATCTGGTAGAAGTACAGGTACTCCTACTCGTAGTTCTGCTCTTTCAG